TCTGGGGTCCCAAAGGCTTATAAGCCTAGTTACCAGAAAAATCAGCGTTGAGGAAAGAAGAACAGCCTGTGAAATGGCCCCTCTGGGGTTAGATGAACCTTCCCCAAACTAGGGCCTTGTCTGAGAACAACTGGCCATTTACTCATTCACACCTGATGGTTTTCAACACAAAGCTGGGCTAATGCAATACCTTGAGAAAAGAGGACGTTTCCGTTGGTTTTCCTTATTTGTCCCTTTCTCTTTGAGGCTGAGCTTTCAGTGTGCAGCAGAAACCCATCTCAAAGTGAGGAGATTCTGGTCATTTCTGCTCTGCCACTAAGGAGCCTTATGCCTTGCGACAACTCATTTACCTTCTCCAGCTTAGGGCTGCAGAGGGGGAGACACAGGCATAGAATGAGTTGTAATCTCCATTACAATAGTAATCTCCATTATTCTGATCTACTCCTCAGAAGTTTAGGAGCTGGCTGTCACCATCATCGCAGTTTCAAAGCATAGCCTGACTGACCCCTTCATGACCCCGGGACCAGCATTTGTCAGTGCTGTCAGGGAAGGAAGCGACTTGACTGAGCTCACGGCATAATGAGAGGTTAAGGACCTCACCCAGCTCTGGCTGAAGCCAACTTCACTGCTGCCAAGTCAATGTTCTTCAGATGCCTGTGAGAAATCTTGAACCAGGCAGATGACAGGAGTGGGGGCCTCTTGCCTCTATCTATAAAGTGAGGGGTCAGATTACACCAGAGGTTTTAATAGCTTTTGTGGCAGACAGAAACCTTCTCCCTGCAGGTAAAATCTAATATAGGAGGACCCAAATCGGAAATTAATCCGATTGCAGCACACACCGGTTGAAAAAGAGAGAGAGATTTTGCCCAACTGTTTATCAACCAACAAACAGGTACTAAACTGTAGTATATCTAATCTATAATGGAAGAGTATTTGCTATAAAGTGCTAACGCATGCTGTAGCATGGTTGAATATCATGGACATTATACAAAGGAAAAAAATCACAAAAGACTGCATTTTTGTTCAATTCTGTTAAAAAAAACAAAACCTACCAAGAACAGGAAATCCATGGCAGATAAGCAGCTACCAAGAGCAGTAACGGTGGAGGTGAGATCTGGGGTTCAGAGAGTGCTTACAGGACTGGGTTTCTTGTGAAGTGACGGACATTTTGGGGGCTATATGGACTGATATACCTACAACACTGGGGATGTGCCAAATGTCACCAAATCTCACCAAGCTGTATGCTTTTGGGTGTGTGTGTGTGGGGGGGGGTGCTAGGGATAAAATCTAAGGCCTCACACATGCTGGGCAACTTTCTAACGGCCACCAACAGCCCTCTCCAGGATCACTGTTAGTCCATGGCGAGCTCACCACCTCAGATTTATTATATATCACTGGTTTTGAACTCACAGTTCTGCGAGAAAGTTAAGCCAACCATTACTCTGTTTTGTTTCCTTGATGAGCAGTCAAATGAGCATTCGAGACAGCCTGCTGTCAGAAGTGTGGTGGCATTCACCAGCAACTCTAGCCTCAGGAAGCTGAGCCCAGAGGACTGAGAGCAAGTTCCAGGCTAGCACAGACCACACAGGGAGAATGCTTCAAAAAACAATACCAAACCAAACAAAAAAGTGCCCATGAAATTGTTTCATTTGAATGTAGTTATCACTGTTTTATTTACATGTCATTATCTGCTATGTAGAAAAGGCTCCTGGAGGCTTAAAGCAGCCATGGAATTTGCTGAAGCACTTACTAGTAGCTTACAATAGGGTAGAGATTTGAATGTTGTCTCTTAGCCTCAAAAAAAAAAAAAAAAAAAAAGCAGTCTGTTTTTGTTTTTGTTTTTTGAAATAGCATCTCATTTTATAGCCCAGGCCTAGCCAGGAATTCCCTAGGTAGCCCAGGCTTTCCTTCAATTTATGGCAATCCCATCAGCCTCTGAGTACTGGGATTAAAAGGCATAAGTCGTTGTGTCTAGCAAAGAAAGTGCTGCTATGTTCAGAAGGTGGTCAGTGGGGTCAGGCTCTTCTGCCCACAGACCACCTGTGACTGTTCTCAGCCTCAAGAAAGGTCCCAGGGGTTGTATGGAGGTGCAGGGTGCAGGGGCACATGTTGGCACCTTTCTAATGGTTCATCTGCACCCTTCCACGGAAGTCTTGGGGCTGAGAATCTCAGGACGTGTGTTTCTTAATTAAGACTGGGTGGGCAAGTGAAACTCCAGCTGTCTTGATGACAACCATCCCAAGGAGAGACTAATAAGGACCACGCCACAGGCTCCAGAACTGGGCTTGTGGACACACACCTGTAATCCCCCTGTCTCTAGGGAGGCAGAGACAGGAAGACTGTGAATATAAGGCCTGCCTAGGCTTCATAGTGAGACCCAACTCAAACAACAGCGAAAAGAACTGGAAAACTGTTTGTACAGGTAAACTCCAGCCTGGAATTCTACTGTGACGACTCTCACCACAGTTGGAACGGTGTGGTCCACAGTTTTTGGCCCCATAGCCCTGAACATTTTCTGCCTTCCCCACATGTTCTGTCCAGTTATCTTGAGGAACTGAAAATAATTTCAGCCTCAAATCTGGTAATGTTACCACAATAATAATTGCTTATATATTAATGTGCTTTGCAGACTGCAACATGCTCTCATGGATGATCATTGCTTGCTAAAAATAAAATTAAAAAGTGAAATTAAGGGAGAAATCAGTAAATGGCATTTAGCTATTCACACACCTCCTGATGCTACAGGTAAGAAAGAGGGAGATGAAAGGGCTTCTAGATTAGAAGTGAAGCCAGAGTCCTGAAATTCTGTCCCTGGATATCGATACAAACGTCAATGCTTTTTAAATTAAAAATGAGGTGCTGCTGCTTATGACTTGATAAGTTATAAAATGCCTCTTTCATCCTTCTCAATCAATGGTCCTGGGCTCCACTGCAATTCAATTTCAGATCTTCAGCTCTTATGGTTTGTATAGGTAACATGAAACAAAGGAAAAGAAAGCTCTGTCTGTGTTACTTTAGTGTGAAGGGCGGAACCTCTAGTTGTCTGTGTGGTAGCATAGGTTAAAGAATGCTCAGGCCTCCATCCACACACTAAACAGCCCTGACTCATAGCGTCTGAGTCCAGAGGCATCAGAGCATGTTCAGGGTGGCATGGCTGTAGAAGAGTGCCCTGATCGGCTATCCAAGTGATCAGCCCTAAACACACACATACACACACAACCACAGCACTGATATATTCGGTAGCTTATATATGTAATTATTGAAGAAGAGGTCACGAATATTGAGATGGAGTAACAGGGAGGACATACCAGGAGTCGGAGAGGCTGAGAAATAGAAATTATGTAAATATAGTACTATTACAGGACATTTTTCAAAAGAAAAAAAATTAATTTAAATTTTAAAAGTATGCTCAGGCCACACAATGGATATTGAACTTCTTGTTCCCAGTGAAGGAGTCAGAATACCAATGTGTCAAGGTCATCCTAAAATAATCTGCACCCCATGCTACAGAAAGCCACCCACTCCTGCTTGCGCAGAGCACAAAGTCTCTTGGGACCTCATCTTGGCTGCTGAGATCAATAACCATTACAGAATAGATTTTGAAAGCGTGTGCTTTGCTGCAATTAATCTAACTAAATTGCAACTCCAACCAGTGTTCTTTTTCTAAGGGGTAAGTAGTCAGAGTGGTTGCACGTATTTAGCTAGTGGCCGTATCATTTGCCTGCTGTCGGGCCTGAGATGCTAAGAGGATTTGGCGGCCCAGGGACATCACCTCTGAAGCAGGAGTCCGCGAAGGCTGCTCTGGCACAATTGGCTACACAAACCATAGGAGTCAATGCTTGCGGGATGCTGCCAACATGGTAAAGTTGCTCTCAGAAGAGGTCATGGGAGCAGTTACCACCTAGCCTGCCTGAGGATAATATGACCAATCTTTTACATTTCCCGTATGGTATGCTTGCTCAACCATGGCTGCCAAGATGCAGCCCGGGGAACAAACCTCCGAGCCATCATCATAGAGATGGGCACTGCTGAGGGTGGAGGCGCTGTGCTGGTGTTTTCCAAAGATGCTCTGGAAGGCGCTCATGCACAGTTGAGGGGGAGAAGCATTGCCGCGGGGTGACTCAAGCGAGAGCTGGGCTTGAGTCCCATTGCTGGGGAGCCTCAGCAGAGAGATCTAACAAACGCCACTGGCCGGGGAAGTCAGTATTCTTCCCTGCCCCGAGCCGCAACTGCTGCTGCAATGTCTGGGGGCCTTTGGCTGAATCCGGTGTGCGTCATGGGTACGAGGAGAACTGCTGGAAGTGCCTGCTTTTAGGTTTCTGCCAAAGCCATGCACAACAATAGTCAACAAAAACTTTGTGAGAACCCGGCCTGCGTGTGTGGTGGGGGACAGACGGAAGACACTGTCCTGTGCATGCATAGGATGACTGCCTGAAGGACGAGGCAGGGACATGATCCTCGCCCTCGGTGTCCCCATGGGTGCCTGCGGGGTGTGCTGAGGAGAGAATTTGTTTTGGACACTCTCGAGCAGTGCCAGAAGTCACCGACATCCACTCTGCAGAGATTACACCACAGGCGTGTGACGCTCCGTGAGGGAGAGCAGAGGCAGCTCTCGCCAGGTTCGGCTGCTGTGGCCTCTCCGGCACCGTGCCGTCGCGCTCTGCCTGTGCGTCAGGATTGCAAACGGTCGTGGGCAAGTGCAGATTCTGTCACTGAGGAGGTGGAGGTAGGTGGGCACCTCCAGGTTTGGAGGGCTGTGAGAAGTGAAACCCAGTGTCACGTGACCCTTATAGCTGCGTGTTGATTGGTTGGTTGAGTGTAGGCTAGGAATTGGGGCTTAGGGTCTCACACATGCTCTCTGCCCCTGAGTTTCAGTCCCAACCACTCCTGATTTTGAGTTGCTGGTTCCATGGGACCATTCATTTAGATCTCAAGAACTTACTTCACCGGCTCAGGACGCAGCACAGAGAAAGGGAATGAGTGACACAATAAGGACTTACTGAATCTCCTTTTTCTTCTTCAGCGGGTCTATGAGGCGCAGGGTGTCTCTGATCACGGCCACCTTCACCTCTTCATCCACCATGCTGGGGATATTTTCAAACACCCCTGGAGAGAGCTTGGAAGGTAAGGATTCCGAGTTAGTGCAGAACTGTGACCCAGTTCTGATGCTTATCCCTAAGTGCCTTCCAACAAGCTCAAATGGTTGGGCAATTGTACATCTGGTCTTGTAAATTACAAATCCAGAGAAGAAAAATTTTAAACCTTTTGTTCTTACCAGAATGCAATTCCCTCTTACAAATTCACAAAACTTACAAAGAGAAATAATAGCACTATGGTCTTGTTGGTATTGTTTTTTGTTTTGTTAGCCCAGGCTGGCCACCAATTTGCTATGTAGCTGAGGATTGCCTTGAACTCATGATTCTGTCCTCCTGTCTGGACTCCTGGGATTACAGGTGTGCATTACATGTCTGGTCTCAGCGCTTCCTGGATTATCACATTTATGTACGCTTTATGAGAGCTGGGAATATGAAGAGAGCTGAAGAATGTGAAAAGAATCTACATAATCTCCCCAAAACCTAGTAGTAATTTTAGGGGTATTTCCTCTTGCTCTTTAAGTGTGTTTTTTTTTTGGGGGGGGGCTAGGGACAAACACCGTTAAATGTACTGTTTACTTTAGTGGCTCGAGCATGTCGATGTGGCTAACTCATAGTCATAGAATTTCAATTAGTTCATCTCCTGAGGCTAATTAATTAATTCATGTCAAAACTGATGGAAAGGCTCAGCTGCTTCTAAGTTTCCCGCCTTGAAAATGAGGAGAATGGCATGCTGGGAAATTTCCAGGGGTCGGGAAGGTCTTATATTAATAGACTCTGTTTGGAGCTCGACGGAACTAAAATTATTTGACTTGAACAGAAGTTTGCTGTGAAATTTGGAAGATGGCAAGTCTTGGGCAGCGGAGAGGAGGCCTCGCAGGCCGGGGCACAGGCACTGTAGCAGTAAGGCCCAGGGGGGGCCGCCGTCACTTACTTCGTATTCATGCTCAATTCTCATGCTGGGGTTTGCATTCACTTCAAGCAGCATGGGCTTCAGGTTTTTCATCAGGAGAATGTCAAAGCCTAGGATCTGGGCAGAACAAACATGATTCAGAATTACTCCCTCTGGCCACAATTTCTTCTCAGGAATTGAGTATGGTATTAGGGTCATTAGGGGAAAATAAATTCAAACTCGGTCTCCAACCTTGGCCTTGACCCTGATCTCCATCCTCCACAGCCCTTCCTCCTCTGGGTGTACTTGTCGGACCCAAATGGAGAGCAGACATTTTTTATGGAAACCTTGGTAATGGGATGCATTCCCACAGTGCACTGCAGTACTATCTGTGTTGTCCCGAGTGCCGTAAAACAATGACCTCTTTCCTCCTTAACAGGCTTTTTATTATGTTAAGGATTACTAGCAGTCCATCAATTTCTCTCTCGGCCTTTTGTTCCAACTCTGCTCTTTTAAGTTGCTTTTTGGCTACATCTCTGGAAACCTAAGGCCACCTCTTTTAACCTGGAGTGTGCGTGAGTGTCTTGTAAGATTTCAAGGCAGCTCTTCCCCAGGCCACACCTGCTGAGTCAGCCACTCAGAGTAGAATGTGGCAATCTCCCTCCCCTGGGTAAGTCTGATATAAGCCTGTGGGGGGGGGGGTAGGGAAAGAGAGAGAGAGAACACATAGGAAAGAGAGGTTTATTATGGAAAATATGACATTGGCGGGTACCAACCAATTTTGTGGAAGAGGTTTCTCCACAACCTTTTCGGCTCCTAGGACCCTACAGCTGTGCATGGCGCACGCACGCACCACACACACACACACACACACACACCATTAGTAACTATGTGACGCACCAGCGATTTACAGTCTCATTAGGTCCTATGGAGACCCTTTAGAAGGAAGCAGAGCATGAGCCTCAGAAAAGACTGCAGCTTTCCTCAGTAGTGCCTTCTAGTGAGTGAGAGCATCGGCTTTCACATCGGAACTGACTGACCACATGCACCTCCCGTACAAGAGGAGTGTATGTCTCTTTGCTCAAAAAGCATTAACAGCTTCCTGACCGTGACAGCAGAGCATGAAACCAGGCTGGAAAGCTACCCTGAACATGGAACCCTGTGCAGCATTGCCACACAGCACCAAGAGTGGCCAGGCTGGCACTCAAGGCTCACTCCCGCACCAGCTGTGGGACCCTTGGGCTTCAATTCAGCACTGACTGGCCCCAGGTGGCCATGGGCATCTCCTCCCTACACAGTCCTTTGCTTGGATAACTTTGCATCCTTAAGATCCTTCCTAACGAGGTTCAGAACTACATGAACCTCAGATTTGGGGGGCAGGGGGGGTCCTGTTATCTCGAGAGGTAATAATAACATTACAAAATTGCTGACAAAATTGACACAACCCCGAGTCTCAAAAATAGAATGCAGAAGAGGACAGAAAAGAAAAAGATACGGTGCAGACCATATCTTCATCTATGGACTCCAGAGGGAAAGATGAAGGAATCCATTTGCTCATCCATATAGAATATGCATTACTTAAATGATAATTATCAAACTGTAGCTTCATCTATATTAATGAAATCAAAGTCTGGATGGCCATTTTTGGGAATGATTCAAGATGAACTTATGTCTCAGTGAAGGGCAATCAGGATAAGGCACTGGGAAAAATCACCCTTGTACTATTTTTCTTTCCCTGGCCATGAAAAGGAAAGAATGGAAATCAGTAGGAACTGTGGCATGAATTACAGATCTGCTTAATAATAAATGACAAGTGGATATGAGTGATGAGGCCTTTAAGAGACTGGTGACATCACCCGCTTACTGGGGACCTGGCCTGAGTCATATGCGGCAGATGAGGCTGAAGACAATGGCTGGTCACCCCTGATCGTCTGCCTTGGCTTTCTGCTGCATCTTGGAAGGATGGATTTTCACTTTTTAAAACCGAGTAGACTCTTTTCTGTTCTAGGTCCAGTGGACTAGCGAATGTGAGAGATGTTGAGGACTGCAGAAGGGGACAGCGGAACCTCTCCCTACACGCTAATCGGCAACCCATAATGTCAACTATTCGAGAATCTGAGCTTGGCTTGCATGGTGTTGAGTGTATTGGATCTCACATGGGAATGCTTTAGCGTCAGAAAGCCCTGGGTTCCAGTCTCTCTCTCTCTCTCTGACTAGCTCGCTAACAGGCTTTAGGGAAGGTGTTTAGCTTCTCTGAGCCCACTGCCTCACAGGAGAATGGATGTAACGTAGAAGCCCTGCGGCAGCATCAGTAATGGCTATGAAAAGCGGTGCCTACAACTGTGCTTGCCATATAGAAGGCGATCTCTGCTAGCTCGCTTTCCCGTCTCCAGCTAAGCCATCAACAAGAAACGGTGGGGGTGTTCTGTGGAAGTCACAGCAACTGCTCATCAGCTAGCTCTGCTTCTTGGTGGCTCTAGGCCCCCACTGTCTTTATCTGTAAAATGGGAATAAGAACTTTCATTTCATTGATTGGTGCAATATTTACTTGAATTCTTTCTATGACCATGCACCATCAAGCAGGGCACACAAAGGAATATGTTCCTGACACACTGGGCATTTAAGGAAGGTCAAGCAATATTATATATTTTTATAAGTTTAAGGACATCTGAGTTAGTTTCCCCTCAACAAGTTTGATGATGAAATATCCAGTACCAATAAATCTCATATTCACAGGACTGGGAAGAACTTGGAGTTGGACCTTGCTATTAAAACCCCAGACTGAACTGGCAAATAAATAAATAAAAATAAAAAATAAAATATAATTTGGAATTGTCTTGGTCCACAACTTCTCAAGATGGAGTTCTTTGGAAAAAGGAAGCCAGCAAGATTGGATCAATTTTGGCCTATTTTTAATATGTTATACTTCCACGAAGAGACATTTATGTATGTTCTTCTTTCTTGAAAAAATCACAATCTCATCTAGTTCCCCCTTTTAGAAGATCCTAGGAAGCTGTAGCTTGGGAATGGAAGGACCTCTCTCTAGATCTCTCCCACAGTCATGGCACAGCAAGGGCTGTCAAGTGGAGAGGTGGCTTTTTAGTCATGTGATCATCTGCCTTGCGGTGGCTCTCAGCCAACAATTATGCGGTGAGTGCCTCCCACTTGACAGATGCCCTGGCAGGCATTTAAAAACATCGGTGCTTCACTGTGACCTTGGAAGCTTCAAGCTGAGGCTGAGGGTCCTGAGCAACTGACGGTAGACTCGCCCAAAGGCTTCGAGCTACATTCCACAGAGAGAGTGTTCTCTTCCAGGGAGCTACATAACCATCTGAATCAAGTACTCTCGACAAGGAGGTCCAGAAATCCTCAGGTTTACATATAACTGCCCGTGGTCCCTTGTCACTAATGCCCCAGTGAGTCCCATCTCCCAGGGTTTGAGAGTTTGTGCAACCCCTCAGCCACCTCGTCCACTTGAGGGCAAGCTCCATTTTTACTACCTGTTTCTGACAGAAAGACGGCGTGTCACTTTCAACATTAAGTTAAAAAAGGACAGTGGCTTCCGCCTTGGGGTGTACTCCCGCTCTGAAAGAAGCCACCAGGCGTGAAAGTGGGCGGCTCTATTGAGAAGGAGAGCAATGACCTGATTTATCCAGCCACCTCCGAGGCAGGACCTGTGAACTTGGAGGAGGAAGAGGATGCCCGGAGGACTGAAGCCCTGACCAGCCTGTAGACTGGGGCCAGAGACACATCAGTTACCCCGGATTCCTTTTTTGAGGCAGGATCTCACTGTGTAACTCTGACTGACCCGGAATATGAAGATCAGGCTACTCGATAACTCACAGAGATCCGCCTGCCTCTGCCTCCTGAGTGCTAGACTAAATCTAGTGGTGTAAGACTTATTATGGTTATTGCTCTGCCCACGAGTGTTTTGCTCGCTTGTATGTTTGTGAACCGTGTGTGCCTGGTACCTGCTGAAGGGCTGACAGGGAGCTGTGAGCCACTGTGCAGGTGCTAGGAATCAAACCCAGGTCCTCTGCTCTTAACTGCAGAGCCAGCTCCCCAGCCCCCACCCCTAGATTCTAGAGCACCAGGACTAGTAAGACAATGTATGATTGTTGTTTTGAGCCACTAATTTTGCCCCATGGTGATAGCTAGTGAACACAGCATCCTTTCCCTCTAAAATCTACCTTGCCTCCTGTATTCCTCATCCAACTCCTCAGTCAGCCTCCCTTTACCCCTTACCTGTCACCGGCTCCTTTAAAAGCTTTCCAGATCTGGCCCAGTCTCACTGCTCGTACCCTCCCTCAGCTCTCACGCCTTTAAATCATCTGGCATGAGGTGGCAGGGTAACTTCTAGAATGCAAACAGAACATTAGCACTCCTCTGCCCCATCTCTGCCTGTTGAAGGTCAAGCCTGAGGCGTGTCCCTCAGCATCCAGGGTTGGCTGGAACCTGTCTCACATGGCACCCTCATGTCCTCCCTCACTACCGCACGTTGTGGGTTCTAATTACACAGCCCTCGTTTGCTTTAATTTGCTGTGTCTCCCCGACCCCTACCCTTCTCTTCTTCCTGGATGGCACTATTTCTTTGTCACTAGGAATAAAGCACCTCAAAGGAAAGCTGCTGCTGCCTCCAAAGCTCAGCATTTTAGAGGAGCGAGGCCACGGGCAAGGAAAGGACACAGCGTGGCACAGGAGGTAGAGGGGCCAAGGTAGGAGGCCAGGGAAGGCCCTCGGAAGGAGGGATCCTTGGGCAGCCTCTGCTTTCGACTCCCGGCCTCTCACAGGGGATGAACGCCCCACTCCGTCTCAGTGGAGTCAGTCTTCTCTCTATGGCTGCATTAACGGATCTGCTCATCACTGGTGGTTACTCACAATTTGTAAGTCTTCCGTGGTATGTGCGTGGTGGGTGACATAGGTCCCATCCTGTTTGGAGGTTTTTGTTTTGCTTTGTTTTTTTTTTTTTTTTTTTTGTCTGTTGTTTTATTTTTGATTATGAGCTTTTGTTACGCTTAACCAAATTTGGAAAGTTTCAGCTACCACCTCTTTAAACGTACTTTCCTTTCCTCTTTTATGCCGGGGCCACAGCTGAACGTGTATTAGGCCTCCTGGTATGTCCCATGCTTTCCCCTTGT